TTTTTTTTTTTTTTGAGATGGAGTTTCGCTCTGTCGCCCAGGCTGGAGTGCAGTGGCGCCATCTTGGCTCATTGCAACCTCCGCCTCCTGGGTTCAATGAATTCTCCTCCCTCAGCCTCCTGAGCAGCTGGGATTATAGGCGCCCACCACCATGCTCTGCTAATTTTTCTATTTTTAGTAGAGATGGGGTTTCACTATGTTGGCCAAGGTGGTCTTGAACTCCTGACCTCAAGTGATCCACCGGTCTTGGTCTCCCAAAGTACTGGGATTACAGGTGTGAGCCACTGTGCCTGGCCCCTTTCTAATTTTAAGCCTTCAAATTGTAGAAGTTCATATTCTGTACTGTAATATCTTGCAGTTAACTTTTTCCCTGCAATATCCAATAGTGTCATGTATCTCTTCCTTCTGTAGTTCCTCAAGAGCAGGTATTGTTGCTCCTCATATCTAAGGAAACTAACTCTAGCTGATGTGAGGTAGAGACTCAATATAATATTTGTTGAACTGGCCATAATGATGAGCCATAAGCTGTATAGCTTAGCCTAGCTGCCTAAGTAAATTTATATCCCCCCCAGATAGGACGGTAGAAAGTTCTAGAAGTGGCCAGGCATGATGGCTCACACTTTTTTTTTTTTTGAGACGAAGTTTCACTCTTGTTGTCCAGGCTGGAGTCCACTGGCACTATCTCGGCTCACCCACCACAACCTCTGCCTCCCAGGTTCAAGCAATTCTCCTGCCTGAGACTCCCAAGTAGCTGGGATTATAGGAATGCGCCACCACACCTGGCTAATTTTTTGTATTTTTAGTAGAGATGGGGTTTCTCCATGTTGGTCAGGCTGACCTCCAACTCCTGACCTCAGGTGATCCGCCCGCCTCGGCCTCACAAAGTACTGGGATTACAGGCGTGAGCCACCCCACCTGGCAAGATGGCTCACACTTATAATCACAACACTTTGGGAGGCTGAGGTGGGATGATCACTTGAAGCCAAGAGTTCAAGACTAACCTGGTGAACATAGTGAGATCCTGTCTCTATCTTTAAATAAATAAATATAAAAATAATCAAAAAGAAAATTCCAGAAGTCTTTTTGGGTAAGGCGAGTCACTAATTGGACAAAAATGTATTGCATACCTGCTGTGTGCTCAGGTTTACAAAGGTTCAGATAAGCAGTTTTGTAGATAAAATATAAGTCCGATACTTGAAAACCATTTATTAAACTCCTGTCCTGGGCACTGTGGTAGCCTTGGGGGAATTGCTGAATAAGAAAAGCAATCCTGTCCAGGCACAGTCGCTCATACCTGTAATCCTAGCACTTTGGGAGGCTGAGGTGAGTGGATCACGAGGTCAAGAGATTGAGACCATGCTGGCCGATATGGTGAAACCCTGTCTCTACTAAAAATACAAAAATTAGCTGGGCATGGTGGTGCTTGCCTATAGTCCCAGCTACTCGGGAGTCAGAGGCAGGAGAATCGCTTGAACCCAGGACAGGGAGGTGGCAGTGAGCTGAGATCACGCCACTGCACTTCAGCCTAAGGAACAGAGCAAGACACTATCTTAAAAAAAAAAAAAGAAAGAAAAGCAATCCTTGGAATTCTTGTCCAGGCATGGTGGCTCATGCTTATAATCCTAGCACTTTGGGAGGCCAAGGCGGGCGGATCACCCAAGGTTGGGAGTTCGAGACCAACCTGACCAACATGGAGAAACCCTGTCTCTACTAAAAATACAAAAATTGCCGGGCGTGGTGGTGCATGCCTGTAATCCCAGCTACTCGGAGGCTGAGGCAGGAGAATTGCTTGAACCTGGAAGGCGGAGGTTGTAGTGAGCTGAGATTATGCCTTTGCACTCTAGCCTGGGCAATAAGAGCGAAACTGTATCTGAAAAAAAAAAAAAAAAAAAAAAAAAAAATGCAATCCTTGCTTTCCCAGGATGCACAGACTGGGGAGGAAAAGCCAACAAAGTGAGATGATGGTTGTGACAGGGGTACTGCAGGTTCTGAGAGATCAAGAACACAAACTCAAACCTAGTGAAGGAATTCACAGAAGGCCTTCCCAAGGAAGTGATGTTTCAAGTAAATCACAAAATGGTTACAAGGGACTAGCCAAAAAGAAAGGGAAAAAGAATTGCTTGAACCTGGGAGGCGGAGGTTGCAGTGAGCCAAGATCATGCCACAGCACTCCAGTCTGGGTGACGAAGCGAGACTGCGTCTCAATAAAAAATAGTTTGGCAGTGACTTTGTGGAGAAGTGAGCTTTGAACTGGACTTTGAAGGGAGAAGATGAGGGAGAAAGGCATTAAAGCCATTTCAGGCTTAAGGAATAAAAGGCAAAGAAATATAAAGGTACATTATGATATGCTCAGAGTACATTAGGTGGCTGGTATGGCTAGGACTTAAGATTATTGGGGTGTCATAGTTGCAGATAAGATCAGAAGAGTATTTTTGGGCCAGTGAGAGAAACTCTGAGTGCCATGCTTAAGTATGTGTGTTAAGGCAAACAAGTGCTGTGGGAGAGGTGAGATGTGGATTAGACCTGACTATACTTTTTTTTTTTTTTTTTTGAGACGGAGTTTTGCTGTTGTTGCCCAGCGGGGAGTGCAATGGCATGATCTCAGCTCACTGCAACCTCTGCCTCCCAGGTTCAAGCGATTCTCCTGCCTCAGCCTCCCGAGTAGCTAGGATTACAGGCATCTAACACCACGCCCAGCTAATTTTTGTATTTTTAGTAGAGACAGGGTTTCTCCATGTTGGTCAGGCTGGTCTCAAACTCCTGACCTCAGGCGATCCACCCTCCTTGGCCTCCAAAAGTGCTGGGATTACAGGCGTGAACCACCACGCCTGGCCCTGACTACACATTTTGTACTCAAACTTGCATCCATTGTGTGCCTACTCTGTTCAGGCACAGTCATAGTCATCTTTACACACTCACATATTAAAATAAATACAGTGCTCTTTTTTTTTTTGAGACAGTCTTGCTCCGTCGCACAGGTTGGACTGCAGTGGCGCGATCTTGGCTCTCTGCAAGCTCCGCCTCCCGGATTCACACCATTCTCCTGCCTCACCCTCCCCAGCAGCTGGGACCACAGGCACCCGCCACCGCGCCCAGCTTATTTTTTGTTTTTGTTTTTGTTTTTTGAGACAGAGTCTGGCTCTGTCGCCCAGGCTGGAGTGCAGTGGCGCCATCTCGGCTCACTGCAAGCTCCGCCTCCCGGGTTCACGCCATTCTCCTGCCTCAGCCTCCCGAGTAGCTGGGACTACAGGCGCCCGCCATCATACCCAGCTAATTTTTTGTATTTTTAGTAGAGACGGGGTTTCACCGTATTAGCCAGGATGGTCTCGATCTCCTGACCTCGTGATCCGCCCGTCTTGGCCTCCCAAAATGCTGGGATTACAGGCGTGAGCCACCGCGCCCGGCAATTTTTTGTATTTTTAGTAGAGACGGGGTTTCCCTGTGTTAGCCAGGATGGTCTGGATCTCCTGACCTCGTGATCCGCCTGCCTAGGCCTCCCAAAGTGCTGGATTACAGGCCTGAGCCACCGTGCCCGGCACCTATACTCTCTTAAGTGACTCTTTTCAACCGTGAAGACTAATAACTGCAGAATATCTTGGGGTCCTCTGAGTTTTCATTAAGATTGGGACAATGCTTAGAGTAACTTTAGAGTCAAGGAGCACATGGTGCTGGACGCTGGTTTTCTCAGTAACTCTGCAAGGGAGATACTGGGCAAGGTTACCTCTCCATTCAGTCTGAGACAAAGAGGTATTGAAAAGTCCTAGAGGGGCCAGGCCCCGTGGCTCACACCTGGAATCCAGCACTTTGGGAGGCCGAGACAGGTGGATCATTTGAGGTCAGGAGTTCAAGACCAGCCTGGCCAACATGGTGAAACCCTGTCTATACTAAAAATACGAAAATTAGCTGAGTGGTAGTGGTGCACACCTATAATCCAAGCTACTTGGGGAGGGCGAGGCAGGAGAATCACTTGAGCCTGGGAGGCAGACGTTGCAGTGAGCTGAGATCGTGCCACTGCACTCCAGTCTGGGCGACTGAGTGAGACCTTGGCTCAAAAAAAAAAAAAAGTCCTAGAGGTCATACAAGTGAATTCAGCATTTATTAAGCAACTACATGATGTAAGTCATCTTCCTGTTCCCATGCAGCTCAGTTCACTTACTCCCTCCACAGATACTAAGTATTTTAAAGGACAGAGAACTTGAGGCAAAATGGCTGTTTGTACAGAAAGTAGATGTGATTCCTAATTTTCAAGAGCTTACTGTTTGGTGTGAACTGGTAATGTGCTGCAAACCAGCTCTCTAGAAAAACAAAATACTCTGATTTGTAGTGCTTGTCAATTTTGGGTCTGTTTACGCCCAGCATTGCTGATTTCAAGCTGTCAACTTAGTGTCACTAAACTCAAAGTTGGAAGAGATATGTATGCACAATTGGTTCTCAGGAGCTGTTAGAGCTTGCTGCAGAACACCATAGAATGAGTCACACATACTAAGAAAACCTATACTAGCAAGTGACTGTTGAGGCGTTTCTGGAAGGATCGGAGCCTGTGATAGCCCATCTCATAGTTCCCATCCTTTTTAGAGACCCATGATCTCTAGGGTGCTCTAGGCATTATCTTGGCATTCCTTTCATATGGTTGACTTTTTTTCCCTTTCTTCCTTTCTGTTTTTTGAGAGGGAATTTCGCTCTTGTTGCCCAGGCTGGAGTGCAATGGCATAATCTCAGCTTACTGCAACGTCTGCCTCCTGGGTTCAAGCAATTCTCTTGCCTCAGCTTCCCGAGTAGATGGGATTACAGATATGCGCCACCACGCCCAGTTAATTTTGTATTTTTAGTGGAGACAGGTTTCTCCATGTTGGTTAGGCTGGTCTTGAACTCCCAACCTCAGGCAATCCACCTGCCTCGACCTCCCAAAGTACTGGGATTACTGGTGTGAGCCACCGTGCCCAGCCTATTAACCTCTTTTTAAACCGGATTAAGTTATTGGTGCTTCTCATTCCCGACAGCAGTCCCAGCTATCTGACTTCATGTGAAAGATGGCTAATGCAGAAGTGAGTGTCCCAGTGGGGGATGTGGTTGTGGTACCCACTGAAGGAAATGAAGGGGAGAATCCTGAAGACACTAAAACTCAAGTGATCTTGCAGTTACAGCCTGTGCAACAAGGGTAAGTGGCTAGAGATTTGGGTATTCTGAAGTATTTTGGGAAGTTTCAAGGGTGGGGAAATTACAACTTTATGGTTGCTTAGCACAATGGAACATTTAACATCAATCAGAGCTGGCTCAGTTTTCATCTGTATAATATACTGTATTGCGTGCTGTATTTGTCATTTTCGTACTTATTACCAACAGTTACATGTTTCCTTATGTCTGCTTCTCTTCTCCACCTTGAGCTCCTTGAGGGTAGGTTACATGGTGCCCTCATTTTATTTTATTGTTATTTTTGTTGAGACAGAGTCTTACTCTGTGACCCAGGCTGGAAGGCAGTGGTGCGATCATAGCTCACTGCAACCTCGAATTCCTGGTCTCAAAAGATCCTCCCACTTTAGCCTCCTGAATAGCTGGGAATATAGGCACATGCCACTGCACCTGGCTGATTTTTCTTTTGTTCTTTTTTTTTTTTAAATTAATTAATTTATTAATTTATTTTTTGGGACGGAGTCTCGCTCTGTCGCCCAGGCTGGAGTGCAGTGGCCAAATCTCAGCTCACTGCAAGCTCCACCTCCCGAGTTTACGCCATTCTCCTGCCTCAGCCTCCCGAGTAGCTGGGACTATAGGCGCCTGCCACCTCGCCCGGCTAGTTTTTTTTTGTATTTTTTAGTAGAGACGGGGTTTCATCGTGTTAGCCAGGATGGTCTCGATCTCCTGACCTCGTGATCCTCCCGTCTCGGCCTCCCAAAGTGCTGGGATTACAGGCCTGAGCCACCGCGCCTGGCCTTTTTTATTTTCATAACATATTTTATTTAACCCAATATACCCAGCACATTATCATTTCGGCACATACTCAATTTAAGAATTCCAGGCCTGGCTGGGTGCGGTGGCTCAAGCCTGTAATCCCAGCACTTTGGGAGGCCGAGACAGGTGGATCACGAGGTCAGGAGATCGAGACCATCCTGGCTAACACGGTGAAACCCCGTCTCTACTAAAAAATACAAAAAACTAGCCAGGCGAGGTGGCGGGTGCCTGTAGTTCCAGCTACTCGGGAGGCTGAGGCAGGAGAATGGCGTAAACCCGGGAGGCGGAGCTTGCAGTGAGCTGAGATCCGGCCACTGCACTCCAGCCTGGGCGACAGAGCGAGACTCCGTCTCAAAAAAAAAAAAAAAAAAAAAAAAAAAGAATTCCAGGCCTACATGGATGGAGCTGGATGCCATCATCCTCACCAAACCAACACAGGAACAGAAAAGCAAACACTGCATATTCTCACTCATAAATGGGAGTTAAACAATGAGAACACATGGACACACAGAGGGGAACAACACACACTGGGGCCTGTTGCGGGGTGAAGGGGCGAGGGGTGGGAATCTAGAGGATGAGTCAATAGGTGCAGCAAACCACCATGGCACACGTATATCCATGTAACAAACCTGTACGTACTGCACATGTGTTCTGGAACTTCGATTAAATAAATAAAAATTCCAGTTCCAGTCCCACTCTTGCACAGTTATGATTCTTCAGCATAACCGTGAAAGCATGATTTACTTCAGAGTTCAAATGTTGACTTTTTTATTTTTTGTAGAGATAGGGGTCTTGCTTTGTTGCCCCGATTGCCTCATCTTATTTATCTGCACTATTCACAGAGGCTCCTTATGTGTCTACCAAAAGACAGTGTAGCTAGAGTCAGAGGACTTCAGGCAAGGCAACGACCATAAATTCTCTGAGCCCCCATGGAGGGGAAATGATTATCAAGATGAGTCTAGCACCTACTACAATACAATGTATTATGAAGATATTGGAAAAAGAGAAGATTTAAAAAGGAGTTTTTTTTTTTTTTTGAGATGGAGTCTCACTGTATCGCCCAGGCTAGAGTGTAGTGGTGGGATCTCAGCTCACTGCAACCTCCGCCTCCCAGGTTCAAGCGATTCTCCTGCCTCAGACTCCCTAGTAGCTGGGACTATAGGCTCCTGCCACCGTGCCTGACCAATTTTTGTATTTTTAGAAGAGATGGGATTTAGCTGAGATCGTGCCACTGCACTCCAGCAGTAGGTGAGAGAGTAAGACTCTGTCTCAAAAAAGAAAGAATACAATAATGTAGACTTACCTTTTAAGCTCTAGTAAACATAATGATGATTCATAGGGAATGTTAGTATCTTACAATGCCTTAACGTTTTGAACGTATTTCATGACTTTTGACTATGGCTATAGTAGATATAGAGAATTAAGCTCAATCCATCACTATCCTGAGTGAGTTTAGATAATTTTTCCCTGATAAAAACCTTGTTTACGGCCAGTTGTAGTGGCTCACACCTGTAATCCCAGCACTTTGGGAGGCCGAGGTGGGTGAATCATGAGGTCAGGAGTTTGAGACCAGCATGACCAACATGGTGAAACCCTGTCTGTACTAAAAAATGTAAAAATTAGCTGGGTGTTGGCACGCATCTGTAATCCCAGCTACTCAGGAGGCTGAGGCAGGAGAATTGCTTGAACCCGGGAAGCGGAAGTTGCAGTGAGCTGAGATTGTGCCATTGCACTCCAGCTTGGACGACAAAGTGAGACTCCGTCTCAAAAAAAAGAAACAAACAAAAAAAGGGAAATCTTGTTTGCTTGTAAAAATATAGACTGCCTCCTACTTGCCACCCTTAAGTACAATTTACTGGTTGTTGAAATTACTTGGCCAGGCTGGGCGCGGTGGCTCACGCCTGTAATCCCAGCACTTTGGGAGGCCGAGATGGGTGGATCACGAGGTCAGGAGATCGAGACCATCCTGGCTAACACGGTGAAACCCCGTCTCTACTAAAAAATACAAAAAACTAGCTGGGCGAGGTGGCGGGTGCCTGTAGTCCCAGCTACTCGGGAGGCTGAGGCAGGAGAATGGCGTGAACCCGGGAGGCGGAGCTTGCAGTGAGCCGAGATCCGGCCACTGCACTCCAGCCTGGGCGGCGGATGGAGACTCCGTCTCAAAAAAAAAAAAAAAAAAAAAAAGAAATTACTTGGCTGGGTGCAGTGGCTCATGCCTGTAATCCTAGCACTTTAGGAGGCCAAGGTGGGAGGATCATTTGAGCCCAGGAGTTCAAAACCAGAAAGGGCGACACATCGAGACCCTGTCTCAACAAAAAATTTAAAAATTAGCTAGGCATGGTGGCTCACACCTGTAGTTCCAGCTACTCAGGAGGCTGAGCTAGGATGATCACTTGAGCCTAGGAAATTGAGGCTGCAGTGAGCTGTGATCATGCCACTGCACTCTAACCTGGGCAACAGAGTAAGACCATGTGTCAAAAAAACAAAACAAAAAAAGGCCAGGTGTGGTGGCTCACACCTGTAATCCCTACACTTTGGGAAGCCAAGGCGGGCAGATCACCTGAGGTCAGGAGTTCGAGACCAGCCTGGTCAACATGGTGAAACCCTGTCTCCACTAAAAATACAAAAATTAGCCAGATGTGGTGGCACACGCCTGTAATCCCAGCTGCTCGGGAGGCTAAGGTGGGAGAATTGTGTGAACTCGGGAGGTGGAGGTTGCAGTGAGCTGAGATTGTACTACTGCCCTGCCAGCCTGGGTGACAGGGCGAGATTCTGTCTCAAAAAAAAAAAGACAAAAAAAAAAAGACATTATTCATACATGAGAATGTATTCTTTTAAGAGATTTTTCACACAGCGGTCAATTTAGGATGAGTTTACCAATCTTATGTGAAGCAGTGGTTTCTCATGTTTATCAAAATCCTTATCCCCTGAATAGCCATTTATAGGGTACTTTGCCATGTTCCAGTCAGTCAACTACATGCTGGGCATACAACATTGCATAAATGAATAAGCCATAATCTATGCACTCGGGGACCTCTTAGCCTGTGCTCAATGGGAGACAGACAGATAAATAAGCATACATTAAGTGTGATAGGTGTTATGACAAAACCCAAAGTACAGCTGGGTCATAAAGCAGGAAGTAAGTGGTTATACTGAAGGGATTGGGAGGGAAAGAAAAGCATCCTAGAGGCAACTTATTAAAAGACAGATAGGAGATTGGCGCAGTGGCTCATGCTTGTAATCCCAGCATTTTGGGAGGCAGAGGCAGGAGTTTGACTTGAGTCCAGGAGTTCAAGGCCAGCCTAGGCCAAATAGGAAGACCCTGTCTCTATAAAAAAATACAAAAATTAGCCAGATATGGTGGCACATTCCTGTAGTCCCAGCTACTGAAGAGGCTGAGGTGGAGGATTGCTTGAGCCAGGGAAGTTAAGGCTGCAGTGAACTATGATCACACCACTGCATTCTAGCCTGGGCAACAGAATGAGACCCTATCAAAAAAAAAAACAAAAACAAAAACGTGGAGAATAATGTTCTGGGAAATGGCAGAAGTAAGAGAAAGAAGGTAGAAGAAGATGGCACTTTTGGGAACCACAAATAGTTTGGCAGTGCCGGGGCCTGGATTTTAAGGTGAGGTTTGGGAAGAGTTGAAACCAGGGGCCAGATCTTAAAGAAGCTTAAATATCATACAAAGGATTTGGAGCTTTATTTTAACAATGAGGAGAGAGGGTGTTTGAGGGATTTTAAGGAGGGAATCACATGATCAATCTGGTGGGAATGTAGAAGATTAGTTAGATGCAAGGATACTAGTATAGCGATGATGAGGCCTGAATTAAGGCAGTAGCAGTGGAGATAGAGACAGGGAGGGAGGATGGATAGTGTTAAAGTGATGCATCCAGCAGGATTTGGTGACTGACTATGTGGAGTTGAGAAAGAGGAAAAAAAAATCCAGTGTGATTCCCAGATTTCTGTCTACAGTGTGCTGAGTGGTGCTATTAACAAGGATGGAGAGTATAGGAAGAATAATAGTTTGAGGGTGGTTGGGAAAAGGGAACTTGATGGTTATTTTAGACATAATGAATTCGTCAAAGTCCTATGAGACTTCCAAATGTATTTATTTGGCTGAGTGTGGTGGCTCACGCCTCTAATCCCAGCACTTTGGGAGGCTGAGGTGGGAGGATCACCTGAGGTCGGGAGTTCGAGACCAGCCTGACTAACATGGAGAAACCCTGTCTCTACTAAAAATACAAAATTAGCTGGGTGTGGTGGCACATGCCTATAATCCCAGCTACTCGGGAGGCTGAGGCAGAAGAATTGCTTGAACCTGGAAGGCAGATGTTGCGGTGAGCCGAGATTGTGCCATTGCACTCCAGCCTAGGCAATAAAAGTGAAATTCCATCTCAAGAAACAAACACACACACAAATGTATTTATTCATTTAGCAGTTGGCTATGTTTGAGTGTGAAATTCAGAAGGGAGGTCTGTACTAGAGGTGTCACTGTGGAGGTAGTCATTGATACAAAGGAGAATATTCAGGCAGTGCTTTTAAGTAACAAGATGCAATAATTAGCACATCAAGTTTATTATAGAAATTAAATAATGGATGTTGATTGTTGATGTATCAAGTTACATTATCTGACCCCATAAATGTAGAGATATCTTGGAGAGATCTGCATTATATAACCTTCTCTAAGTGGTGCCTCTAGTCACTCCTAGTTACTTTGGATGTAGTTTCTCTCTTACTTTTCTTCCACTAGGCTTTGCTCATGTCAATAGTTTGGTTATGGTACCTTAAAAGATGCTAAAAACAAACAAACAAACACCTCCCACCCCAACGGCAAAATACGCTGTTTCCAACAAGGGACATCAACTTTTCAGTCAGCCTGGTTCTTCCTGTCTCAAACTATCTGCTGGTACTACTTTTTAGTCTTCTCAGGGTAATTCCATAATATGAATTAGTCATATACTTGTAGCCATACTATGCCATGGGCATGTAAAGTGTTTTTTGTTTTTTTTTTTGAGATGGAGTCTTGCTCCATTGCCCAGGCTGGAGTGCAGTGGTGCAATTTCAGCTCACTGTAACCTCCACCTCCCTGATTCAAGTGATTCTCCTGTCTCAGCCTCCTGAGTAGCTGGGATTACAGGTGCACCACCATGCCTGACTAATTTTTGTATTTTTAGTAGAGATGGGGTTTCACCATGTTGGTCAGGCTGGTCTCAAACTCCTGACCTCGTGATCCGCCCACCTTGTCCTCCCAAAGTGCTGGGATTACAGGCGTGAGCCACCGCACACAGTCTAATTTTTTTGTATTTTTAGTAGAGATAGGGGTTTCACCACGTTGGCCAGGCTGGTCTCGAACTCCTGACCTCAGGTGATCTGTCTGCCTCGACCTCCCAAAGTGCTGGGATTACAGGCATGAGCCACCATGCCCGACCCATTTAAAGTTACGAAGGGAGCCAGGTGCGGTGACTCATGCCTGTAATCCCAGCACTTTGGAAGGCCGAGGCGGGTGTATCACAAGGTCAGGAGATCGAGACCATCCTGCTAACACGGTGAAACCCTGTCTCTACTAAAAATACAAAAAAAATTAGCTGGGCATGGTGGTGGGCGCCTGTAGTCCCAGCTTCTCAGGAGGCTGAGGCAGGAGAATGGTGCAAACCTGGGATGCAGAGCTTACAGTGAGCCGAGATCGCACCACTGCACTCCAGCCTGGGAGAGAGAGTGAGACTCTGTCTCAAAAACAAAAAAAAAAGTTACGAAAGGAGTGGACATTTGTTTTTATTCAGTTTCTTCTCAAGGTGAAGGTAACTGTTTGTAAATGTCCTAGAGAAATATGGTAGCTTTTTGTTCACCCTTTGCAAGTAAAAAGCGTGGATTATTCCACTGCTGACATTTAAAAAATAAAGTTATGAAGGGAAAAGTCTGGTGTAATACAGTAGTAGCAAGTGGTGGTGTAAATAAATAAGTAGCAAGAATTACTTTCCTTTGAGGTGAGGAGAGTTTTCGATTCATTTCCATGATAGAAGCTGCTAAGCAGTCCTGGGAAGTTTGGAGTTTAAATATAACGGGAAACTAGTCAGAGTTATAAAGTATATTTATTTTATTTATTTTGAGATAGATTGAAACAAATTTCTTAACCCCATGCTGTGAATATTAATTTTTTCATGATTTATGTAGTTTGTTTATCGATGGACACTTTTACAACAGGATTTATGAAGCTGGGTCGGAGAACAACACGGCAGTTGTAGCAGTAGAAACTCACACGATACACAAAATTGAAGAAGGGATTGGTAAGGTTTTTTTTTGTTTTGTTTTGTTTTTGTCATTCTAATGGCTTTGACCTTAGCTTCCTTGGTTGAGTTTTCTTGCCATCTGTGCCTTATGTTTTTCTCCCATCCCTGTGTGCCCTACCAGAACTACAGCCCTCGATTTTGATGGTGGTACATCTTGAGACACCACTGACTAAGATGCTAGGGTCATCAGTTGGTTGGTTAACGTCAGTTTGGAAGGGTAACTGAAAAGACTTTTTATCTATAAAAATCCCACATAGAAATTGGAGCCTCAAAGTTGATACCTGTCATTAAAGAAGTTGTTGATGACTGATAAGGTATTGTTTAGAAGGCAGTCAGTGGAAAGAAACTGGAAAGAAACTTTGAAATTTAACAAATCTGAGTTTAAATCCCAATTTCTCACCTCTAAGTGTGTCCTTGGGAAAGTCAGTTAACCTGAGGCCCATATACTTATATTTAACACCTAGGAAACAATTAATTAATTAATTAATTTTTTAAAAAACCTTATCGAGCACAGTGGCTCGTGCCCGTAATCCCAACACTTTAGGAGGCCAAGGCGGGGGATCACCTGAGGTCAGGAGTTCGAGACCAGCCTGGCCAACATGGCGAAACCCCATCTCTACTAAAAGTATAAAAATTAGCCTGGCGTGGTAGCGGGCACCTATAATCCCAGTTACTCAGGAGACTGAGGCAGGAGAATTGCTTGAATCCGGGAGGCATAGGTTGCAGTGAGCCGAGATCGTGCCACTGCACTGCAGCCTGGGCAACAAGAGCGAGACTTCATCTCCAAAACAACCACCACCACCAAAAAAACACCACCTACACCGGGCGAGGTGACTCACACCTGTAATCCCAGCACTTTGGGAGGCCAAGGCGAGTGGATCACTTGAGGTCAGGGGTTCAAGACCAGCCTGGCCAAGATGGTGAAACCCCATCACTACTAAAAATATAAAAATTAGCCAGGCGTGGTGGTGTGTGGTATATGGCTATAATCCCAGCTACTTGGAAGGCTGAGGCAGGAGAATTGCTTGAACCTGGGAGGCATAGGTTGCAGTGAGCTGAGATCACGCCACTGCACTCCAGCCTGGGTGATAGCGTGAGACTCCATCTCAAAAAAGGCAAAAAGAAAAAAAAAAACACCTAGGAAATAATCACTGCCTCATAGGATTGTTGTAAGAACTAAATAAGATTACATGTGTAAAATATATAGTATGGTGTCTGGCACACTGTGGGAGCTTGGGAAGAGATAGCTGTTAGGCCAGACTTCTTCCAGAGAATCCCTAAACGATACCAGCAAGAGTGAAGTGTTAGTCCCTCAGAGGAACCAGGAGACTAGAGATTTTGAGTTTCAGCTTTGGGGAAGAATTGCTTGATAAATAACTGATTTTTTTTCTGTTTTCAGATACAGGCACTATAGAAGCAAATGAGGATATGGAAATTGCTTACCCTATAACTTGTGGGGAGAGCAAAGCCATCCTCCTCTGGAAGAAGTTTGTGTGTCCGGGAATAAATGTGAAGTGTGTCAAGGTAATTGTCTTCTCCATGCTGAAGCCAATTTTGGGACTCCTTGTTTTTAAAGGGTGTGAGTTCCATGCATCCTTTTTCTCTTGCACTAGATCAGGTTTTTTTTTTTTTTTTTTTTGGTGGCTATTGTTCTAATGTGTCACAATAGAAAAAATAAGAACTTTGGGTTGGATGTGGTGGCTCATACCTGTAATCCTAACACTTTGGGAGACCAAGGTGGGAAGATCACTTGAGCTTAGGAGTTCGAGACCAGCCTGGGCAACATGGTGAGACATTGCATGACTTTCTCTGTTGCCCAGGCTAGAGTGCAATGACACGATCTTGGCTCACTGCAGCCTCCACCTCCTGGGTTCAGGTGATTCTCCCACCTCAGCCTCCTGTGTAGCTGGGACCACAGGTGTGCGCCACTGTGCCTGGCTAATTTTTTGTAGAGATGGAAGGTTTTGCTATGTTGCCTGGGCTGGGAAACCTTGCATCTTCAAAAAATATATTGGCGGCCGGGTGCGGTGGCTCACGCCTGTAATCTCAGCACTTTGGGAGGCCGAGGCGGGCGGATCACGAGGTCAGGAGATCAAGACCATCCTGGCTAACACAGTGAAACCCCGTCTCTACTAAAAATACAAAAAATTAGCTGGGCGTGGTGGCGGGTGCCTGTAGTCCCAGCTACTCGGGAGGCTGAGGCAGGAGAATGGTGTGAACTCAGGAGGCGGAGCTTGCAATGAGCTGAGATCGCACCACTGCCCTCCAGCCTGGGCGACAGAGCGATACTCTGTCTCAAAAAAATATATATATATACTGGCTAGATGAGGTGGCTTATGCCTGTAATCCTAGCACTTTGGGAGGCTGAGGTGGGTGGATCACCTGAGATCAGGAGGTAGAGACCAGCCTGGACAACATGGTGAAGTCCCATCTCTACTAAAAATACAAAAATTAGCCAGGCATAGTGTTGGGTGCATATAATCCCAGCTACTGCGGAGACTGAGGCAGGAGGATCACTTGAACCTCGGGGCAGAGTTGCAGTGAGCTGAGATTGCGCTGTTGTACTCCAGTCTGGGTGACAGAGTGATGCTCTGTCTCAAAACAAAACAAAAAAAATTATTAGATTGACTAGCCAAAAACAAAACTGATAAAGATAGAATTGCTTATGCTGTCTTCATTAGGGCTGGATAGATTATTTCAGTATATTTGAACAGCCTTTGTTTGCCACACTAGACCCAACCACCTGATTCCAGGCATAAATGGATTTTAGAGATTTATTAATATATTTATCTCTTATCTCTGCATGTATTCTGTGGCTTTGTACCGGGAATGGAGACTGTGCTCCGAGAAGCATCGTCTTCTCTAACACAATAGTGCAGGAGTTTGGATAGTCAAGGCTTAGGATGTCATCTGGGTATTTTTTATGCAAATGATGTAGAATTATCATTTCATTATTTCCCCTCTTGGCCTGCCTAAGTTGACATTAGACTATTTTGGACTTTTCTTTTTACTTTTAGTTCAATGATCAGTTGATCAGCCCCAAGCACTTTGTTCATCTGGCTGGCAAGTCCACTCTGAAGGACTGGAAGAGAGCTATTCGTCTGGGTGGGATCATGCTCAGGTAAGCTCTAATGTTAGGCACATACCTTTCAACAAACTTTGGGGCACGTAATCATGCTAGAATCTGGGCTCTTCTCTTTAGGTTGACATTTTTATTCTTTCTGAGAAATTGGCTTGAGCAATCCATGCATTATTTGACTTTAATCAACTTATTCTTAAAAATCCTGGGAGACAAGAAAGATTTTTTGTTTGTTTGTTTGTTTTTGAGACAGAGTCTTGCTCTGTCACCCAGACTGGAGTGCAGTGGCGTGACCTTGGCTCACTGCAACCTCCGCCTCCTGGGTTCAAGCAATTGTAGTTTTTAGTAGAGACAGGATTTCACCATCTTGGCCAGGCTGGTCTTGAACTCCTGACCTCATAATCCACCCACCTCAGCCTCCCAAAGTGCTGGGATTACAGGCATGAGCCACTGTGCCCGGCCATTTAATTCTTTTTAATGGGGGGAAAAAATAAAATTTTAAAAAATAAATAAAAAATTAAAAAATAAAAATAATTATTTTTAAGGAATCTCTTTCAAGAAAAATCCATAATGCTTGTAGAGATTCAAGCATAAAGATGTTTATTACAACATTATTTATTAATGTGAAACTTATAGTCTGCTTTAATATATGGTCAAAGACTTCTAAAGTCAATTATGACCTGTCTAAATATATATGAGTATATACTATGAATGTTTTGCAGTCATTAAAATATTTCTGAAGAGATTTTACATGAAAAATGCTTATGACATAATTTGAAGGAAGAAAAATAGAAAATTTATTAAATTGATTTTGGCTGTGTTAAGACATATATGTAAGTAAAATTTAGTAGAAGAAAATATGCTAAAATGTTGACATTGTCTGTGTATTGTAGGATTTTTTTGGTTTTTTTTTGAGATGGAGTCTCGCTTTGTTGCCGGGCTGGAGTACAGTGGTGCAGTCTCGGCTCACTGCAGCCTCCACCTCCTGGGTTCAAGTGATTCTCCTGCCTCAGCCTCCCGAGTAGCTGGGACTACAGGCATGTGCCACCATGCCCAGCTAATTTTTGTATTTTTTTTAGTAGAGACGGTGTTTTATCGTGTTAGGCTGGTCTTGATCTCCTGACCTCGTGATCCACCCACCTTGGCCTCCCAAAGTGCTGAGATTACAGGCGTCAGCTACCTTGCCCGGCCTAAGATTTTAGTTGTTGTTGTTGTTTGTTTTTTTGGTGAGACGGAGACACTCTTGTTGCCCAGGCTGGAGTGCAATGGCGTGATCTCGGCTCACCACATCCTCCGCCTCCCAGGTTCAAGCGATTCTCCTGCCTCAGCCTCCCGAGTAGGTGGGATTACAGGCATGTGTCACCACGCCCGGCTAATTTTGTACTTTTAGTACAGATGGGGTTTCACCATATTGTCCAGGCTGATCTCGAACTCCTGACCTCAGGTGATCCGCCCACCTTGGCCTCCCAAAGTGCTGGGATTACAGGCATGAGCTACTGTACCCAGCCCAAAGATTTTTTAAAAAGGGCAATTGATTAAAAAAAAAAAAAAAAAGGTCATGTTCTGTCACTAAGGCTGGAGTGCATTGGCATGATCAGCCTCAAACTCCTCAGCTCTAGCAGTCCTACAGAGTAGCTTGGACTACAGATGTGAGCCACTGTGGCCAGCTGAAAATGCTAAATATTTTCTTCACATAGGTTTTTTTTTTTTGGAGTCTCGCTCTGTCACCCAGGCTGGAGTCCAGTGGCGTGATCTCGGCTCACTGCAAGCTCTGTCTCCTGGGTTCATGCCATTCTCCTGCCCCAACCTCCCAAGTAGCTGGGACTACAGGTGCCCACCACCACGCCTGGCTAATTTTTTGTATTTTTAAAAAGTAGAGATGGGGTTTCACCATGTTAGCCAGGATGGTCTCGATCTCCTGACCTCGTGATCCAACCGCCTTGACCCCCCAAAGTGCGGGGATTACTGGCATGAGCCACTGCGCCCGGCCTTTTTTTTTCTTTTTTGAGTCAGGATCTCACTCTGTCGCCCAGGCTACAGTGGCACAGTCTTGGCTCACTGCAACCTCCGCCTCCCAGGTTCAAGTGATTCTCCTGCCTCAGCTTCCCGTGTAGCTAAAATTACAGGAGCACACCACCTTGCCCGGCTAATTTTTGTACTTTTGGTAGAGACGGGGTTTTACCATATTAGTCAGGCTGGTCTTGAATTCGTGACCTCGTGATCTGCCCGACTCAGCCTCCCAAAGTGCGGGGATTACAGGTGTGAGCCACTGTGTCCGGCTTTTGATTTTTTTTGTTTGTTTTTTTTTTTTTTTTTTTTGAGACATAGTTTTGCTGTGTGGCCCAGGCTGGAGTGTAGTGGCGTGATCTCGGCTCACTGCAATTTCTACCTCCTGGGTTCAAGTGATTCTCATGCCTCAGCTTCCTGAGTAGCTGGGATTATAGGTGCGCACCACCACACCCAGTTAATTTTTTTGTATTTTTAGTAGAGACGGGGTTTCACCATGTTGGCCAGGCTGGTCTCGAACTCCTGACCTCAAATGCTCTGCTCACCTCAACTGCCAAAGTGCTGGGATTACAGGTGTGAGCCACCATGCCCCGCTTTTGTTGCCCAGGCTGGAATGCAGTGGTGTGATCTCAGCTCACCACAAACTCTACCTCCTGGGTTCAAGCGATTCTCCTGCCTCAACCTCCCAAATAGCTCGGATTATAGGCATGTGTCACCATGCCCAGCTTATTTTGTATTTTTAGTAGAGATGGGGTTTCTCCATGTTGGTCAGGCTGGTTTTGAACTCCCAACCTCAGGTGATCCACCCACCTTGGCCTCCCAAAGTGCTGGGATTACAGGTGTGAGCCACTGTGCCCAGCCCACATCGTTTTTGTTAGTCAGAGACACACAAACATCATTTGTGTTCTTTTTGTTTTTATTTAAAAATTTTTGGCCGGGTGCGGTGGCTTAAGCCTGTAATCCCAGCACTTTGGGAGACCGAGACGGGCGGATCACGAGATCAGGAGATCGAGACCATCCTGGCTAACACGGTGAAACCCTGTCTCTACTAAAAAATACAAAAAACTAGCCAGGCGAGGTGGCGGGCGCCTGTAGTCCCAGCTACTCGGGAGGCTGAGGCAGGAGAATGGCGTAAACCCAGGAGGCGGAGCTTGCAGTGAGCTGAGATCTGGCCACTGCACTCCAGCCTGGGCGACAGAGCGAGACTCCATCTCAAAAAAAAAAAAAATTTTTTTTTAATTATTTTACTCCTGTACTTCCAACGAAACATCATTTTTTAAAAAAAATTTCTGATGATTTGTAAGCAGAAATTAGTAATCCAATGAAATTGGGAAGGAATACCTTTATTTTTATTTTTATTTTTATTGTTTGTTTATTTATTTATTTATTTTTGAGACAGGGTCTAATTGTCACCCAGGCTGGAGTGCAGTGGCGTAGTCTCGGCTTACTGCAACCTCAGCTTCCCAGGCTCAAGCGACTCTTCAGCCTCAGCCTACCAATTAGCTGGGACTACAGGCATGAGCCACCATGCCTGGCTGATTTTTGTTTTTTTTTTTTTTGAGACAGAGTCTCGCTGTGTTACCCAGGCTGGAGTCCAGTGGCATGATCTCGGCTCACTGCAAGCTCTGCCTCCTGGGTTTCATGCCATTCTCCTGCCTCAGCCTCCCGAGTAGCTGGGACTACAGGCGCTCGCCACCATGCCCGGCTAATTTTTTTTTGTATTTTTAGTAGAGGAGGAGTTTCACCGTGTTAGCCAGGATGGTCTTGATCTCCTGACCTCGTGATCCACCCGCCTCGGCCTCCCAAAGTGCTGAGATTACAGTCGTAAGCTACTGCGCGTGACCGATTTTTGTATTTTTTATAGAAATGAAGTTTTACCATGTTGCCCATGCTGGTCTCAAACTCCTGAGTTCAAGTGATCCTCCTGCCTTGGCCTCCCAAAGTGGTGGGATTACAGGCATGAGCCACTGCGCCTGGCTGAGGAATACCTTTGAGTTTTGTTGTTCTTGGTGGGTTTTATTTACCCAGAAAGCCAAGCACGTGCCAATTCTTCCCAAATGTAAAAAAGAAAATACTAAAAAATATTTAGTGAAAGCCAAGTGACATTATAACATAGAATTTACTATAATTAAAATACCCCATGGTTTTGCTCATGGTCTATAATAACGTTTTGTGGATCCAATTATAAGGACATTTTCCAGAGTGGGTTTAGTATAGTCAACTTTTTTCTGTATGCCTAGGAGAGTTTTTTAAAAGACTGAAACTTTATGTCTGTGAAACTGGCACCAGATCTTGCTGGAGTACTCATAATGAATAAACTATGGAGGGAGAAGGAATACTGGTAAATGTGGGCAGGACCAGTGAAAATTTAAAGCCCAAATTAGAATTTTTGCAACCTAATGACTTCTAACACTATTAAGTTTCCCTAATCTACACAGTAGACTCAGCAATGTTGTCCCTATTTTTCCCTGAGGCCTGGTTCCCACTATATGAAGTATAGGCTGAACTGGTACTTCTTGTCTCCCTTTGCACAGGAAAATGATGGACTCCGGACAGATTGATTTTTATCAACATGACAAAGTTTGCTCCAATACCTGCAGAAGCACCAAATTTGATCTTCTGATCAGCAGTGCAAGAGCTCCAGTGCCAGGACAGCAGACAAGTGTGGTGCAGACGCCCACTTCGGCTGATGGTAGGGGGTAGGAAACCACCTGAAAACCCACTGTGTTTTTCAGCAGAACTTTCCCCCTTATTTCTCCCGTGTGTGTGTGTGTGTGTGTGTGTGTATATATATATATATATATATTTTTTTTTTTTTTTCTTTTTGAGACGGAGTTTTGCTTTTGTTGCCCAAACTGGAGTGCAATGGTGCGATCTCAGCTCACCGCAACCTCTGCCTCCTGGGTTGAAGTGATTCTCCTGCCTCAGCCTCTCGAGTAGCTGGGATTACATGCACCACCACGCCTGGCTAATTTTGTATTTTTAGTACAAACAGGGTTTCTCCATGTTTGTTATGTGGTCTTGAACTCCCAACCTCAGGTGATCCACCTGCCTCAGCTTCCCAATGTGCTGGGAATATAGGCATGAGCCACCACACCCAGCCTCTTGTATAATCTTAATTTCAATTCTCATGAGCATTGATGTGCCTTGTAAAGTATGCTAATCTTGGATGGGATTCCATGCTTTGGAAACATGCTTTGTTTTCTTCCAAATGATTCCTACTGGCCATACCTCCTCCTTTGTTTTTTCCTTACAATGCGTTGTAAGCATTGGAAAGGTAGTTCAGTAGTTATAATTATATAAGAGTTTCACTTTGGTGCCACTTTGCATATTAAGGTTCAATTAGGCTGTTTTGAAAAATGGAGAATGGCGTGAACCCAGGAGGTGGAGCTTGCAGTGAGCCGAGATCACACCACTGCACTCCGGCCTGGGCGACAGAGCGAGACTCCGTCTCAAAAAAAAAAAAAAAACTAGCTGGGCATGATGGCACATGCCTGTAATCCCAGCTACTCAGGAGACTGAGGCAGGAGAATCACTTGAACCTGCGAGGCGGAGGTTACCGTGAGCTGAGATCATGCCTCTGCACTCCAGCCTGGGTGACAAAGCGGCACTCCGTCTCAAAAAAAAAAAAAAGATCTTTTGGTCAGTTCTAATATGCTGTGTGTAACCAGTGGGTGAGTGAAGCCAAATCTCTTGAAACCTAAATCCCTTTCAGGAAAGTATAAAATATCTGGCAGTTTGAATATTTGAACACTTGACTTTTCACTTGAAAAGTGAAAAATACTGTGAAATGTTATTTACAGTTGGCCGTTGAACAATAGGTTTGATCGGCAGGGGTCCACTTTTATGCAGCTGTTTTTTTTTTTTTTTTTTAGCCAAACATGGATTGAAAATACAGTATTTGCAGAATGCAAAACCCGCGTCTATGAAGTGTTGACTTTTACTTTTTGTATATGTGGATTCCACGGGGCTGACTTTAGGACTTGAACATGTGCAGATTTGGTTATATATGCAGGTGGTCCAGGAATCAATCCCTCATGTATACTGAGGGACAACTGTACTTCCTTTTTATTTGGCTATAAGTCCTTTACTTGATTATCTTTTGCTTGATTATTGATATCCTCCAGTGTGTAGAGTCCATATTTACCTATATTGCTTTTTGGATCAGTTTGTTTTTTCTCAATTCTCTTTGTTTAAGAGCTTTCTTTTTTTTTTTTTTGAGATGGTCTCGCTCTGTTGCCCAGGCTGGAGTGCAGTGGGACAATCTCGGCTCAATGCAAGCTCCGCCTCCCAGGTTCACGCCATTCTCCTGCCTTAGCCTCCTGAGTAGCTGGGACTACAGGCGCCCACCACCACGCCCGGCTAATTTTTTGTATTTTTAGTAGAGATGGCATTTCACCACGTTAGCCAGGGTGGTCTCGTTCTCCTGACCTCATGATCCATCTGCCTTGGCTTCCCAAAGTGCTGGGATTACAGGCATGAGCCACCGCACCTGGCCAAAAGCTTTCTTTTTTTTTTTGAGACAGGGTCTTACTCTGTCACCCAGGCTGGAGTACAGTGGCACAGTCACGGTTTACTGCTGCCTTAAGCCCCTGGGCCCAGGTGATCCTCCCACCTCAGCCTCCTGAGTAACTGTAACTACAGATGTGCACCACCACACCCAGCTAATTTTTGTAGAAACTGGGTTTCGCCATGTTGCCCAGGCTGATCTCAAACTCCTGGGCTCAAGCGATCTGCCCACCTTAGCCTCCCAAAGTGGTAGGATTACAGGCATGAGCTACCATGCCCAGTCAAAATCTTACTATACAAGTCATAGCAAAGGGTATTTTTTCCCCCTTGTGAATCTGCTATACATGAATCTCTTATCTGATTTTTGGTCTCCATTTCTTTTACTTTGTCTTTATAGGCTAATAAATAAGTTAGATGCTTAGTATCAAACTTGCTTGTAGTAGAGCTCTTGGCAAAGCACTATACCTTTCTCTTAAATTATTTCACGCTTTCTTCACCCTCAATAAGTCTGGAGCAGGCAGCCTAGTAGTAATGCCTATCTTCAATCTCTTTCAAAAACATATCCACCCAGGAAACACACTGCTCTTTTGTGATTTTGTAAGTTATCTTTCACTTTCTATTCAAAGTAAGAAAGCATTTTCCTTTGCAAGGCAGGTTTTCTTTAGAAAATCCAGTATTCATCCTGGTTTACCTGAGAGTCTAGTTTTTAAAATAGGGACCTGCAGCCAAGAGGCTAGAATGTTAAAATAACAAGGTCTTTGTAGCTGTTGACTATGAGATATAGGATGGCTATAATTTTTTCATTACATTCACCATTCTCACCTCTACTGGACTGCTTTTAGGTAGCATCACGCAGATTGCCATCTCAGAAGAGAGCATGGAAGAGGCAGGGCTGGAATGGAACTCAGCTCTCACCGCTGCTGTCACCATGGCCACGGAGGAGGGTGTAAAGAAAGACTCAGAGGAAATTTCAGGTATTCTTCTATAGGGCTCAGATATCTTGCAGGGTCTTGTGACCCTTATCACCATTATCATTATGGACACGGAAAACCTCTTAATTACTTTCGCTGGATTTTCTCATGCATATAAATACTAACTGTAGCTACAAACATCCTACTTTAATCCATGCAATAACCCTGCAGAGTCACATTTTACACACAAAGAAATCAGAATTCAGAAAGGTTCAGCAACTTGCCTAAGACCAGTCACAAACAAGTGTCAGAGCTGAATTTAGCTGTTTGACTATGTAGTCTATGCTTTTCATCCGATCAAACTGCCTCCAACCTTGGCACATTTCTTAGATAACCTAAGTTTTGAGATGTTAGCTGGAAAAAATAGATGCCAAGTGTTATAGAGCATGGTGATTAATGATTATTCACTTAGAAGGGACCAAGAGAGGCTTCACATCACCCTCCATTTATTAATTCATTTTTAGTTGGCACTGTTGTTAGGTGCTAGGTGCATAGATGAAAAGACAGGCCGGGCACGGTGGCTCGTGCCTGTAGTCCTAGGACTTTGGGAGGCCAAGGTGGGTGGATCACCTGAGGTCGGGAGTTCAAGACCAGCCTGACCAACATGGAGAAACCCTGTCTCTACTAAAAATACAAAATTAGCCAGTTGTGGTGGCACATGCATGTAATCACAGCTACTTGGGAGGCTGAGGCAGGAGAATCGCTTGAACCTGGGAGGCGGAGGTTGCAGTGAGTTGATATCGCGCCATTGCACTCCAGCCTGGGCAACAAGAATGAAACTCCATCTTAGAAAAAAAAAAGAGAAAGAAAAAAAGAAAAGATATAGCCACCACCCTCAGAGAGCTTATAGCCCCGTTGATCCAAATGTTTTGTTTTGTTTTCCTAAGTATAGGACTAGGGAGAGTATATCTTAATTAATATTTAATTTAATATCTTTACTATTTAACTTTTATGATATTAAATATCTAATATCTCATTTTTAAATTAAATTAAAATTAAATATTTAATATTAAATATGTTTAATGTTAAATATCTTTATCGGAAGAAAATGACTATTCTTTGTAGTGAGAACTATGACAAATTCAGAGAATGACAAATTGAGGCAATTATCCCAAGCACCTATGCTGCTGAAGGGGCCAAATAATTGGGTGCCCACTCAGGAAGCATCTAGTATTCCAAAGCCTATTCCTTTTTTTCAGGAATGGCCCAATAAGAAATTCTTTTGAGTTAAAATAATTTTGAATTTCACATTGTAGAGATTTGCGTAAGTATCTGTGTAGTGTCTCTTTTTTACCCTCTGTCTTATCCTTCTTGTGCCAGAGGACACTTTGATGTTCTGGAAAGGAATAGCTGATGTAGGGCTGATGGAAGAAGTTGTCTGCAATATACAGAAGGAAATAGAGGAGCTACTCCGGGGAGTTCAGCAGCGGCTCATCCAGGCTCCCTTCCAGGTCACAGGTAAGTTCACTTATCCTAACAGTAGCAGTCATTTATTGAATACTCACCTCTGTAGGCAGGTCCTGTAAGCCTTGCAAAAACCCCGATGTATAGGTATTACTATCTTAATTTTACAGATAAGGAAACTAAGGCTCATATAAATTAAGTCACTTGTCTAAGGTTCATAACTAGGTTTTGAACTCAGATCTGGCCATGCTTTTCCTCAGGTAATTTTTGTCTTTATAATGGTGCCAGTAGTCTGGGCAACATCATGAAATGCTTTGTCTCCACAAAAAAACTTTTTTTTTAAGATGGAGTTTCACTCTTATTGCCCAGGCTGGAGTGCAGTGGTGCAATCTCAGCTCACTGCAACCTCTGCCTCCTGGGTTTTAAGCAATTATCTTTGCCTCAGCCGCCTGAGTAGCTGGGATTACAGGCGCCCACCACCATGCCCAGCTAATTTTTGTATTTTTGGTAGAGACAGGGTTTTGCCATGTTGGCCAGGCTGGTCTTGAACTCCTGACCTCAGGTGATCCCCCTGCCTCGGCCTCCTAAAGTGCTGGTATTACAGGCGTGAGCCACTGCTCCTGGCCTACAAAAAGCTTTTTAAAAATTAGTCAGCCGGGCGCGGTGGCTCACGCCTGTAATCCCAGCACTTTGGGAGGCCGAGGCGGGCGGATCACAAGGTCAGGAGATCGAGACCATGGTGAAACCCCGTCTCTACTAAAAATAGAAAAAATTAGCCGGGCGCAGTGGCGGGCGCCTGTAGTCCCAGCTACTCGGGAGGCTGAGGCAGGAGAATGGCGTGAACCCGGGAGGCGGAGCTTGCAGTGAGCTCAGATTGCGCCACTGCACTCCAGCCTGGGCGACAGAGCGAGACTCCGTCTCAAAAAAAATAAAAAAAAAAAAATAAAAAAAAAATAAAAATTAGTCAGGTATGATTGGTAGTGGGTGCCTGTAGTCCCAGCTACTTGGGAGGCTGAGGCTTAGAAGAATCACTTGAGTCCAGCAGTTCGATGCTGCAGTGAGCTATGATCATACAACTGTACTTCCAGCCTGGGTTACAGAGCAAGACTCTGTCTCAAAAAAAAACAAAAACAAAAACAAAAACAAAAAAACAAACAGGCCGGTGCAGTAGCTCATGCCTGTAATCCCAGTATATTAGGAGGTTGAGAGTGGCGGATTACTGAGGTCAGGAGTTCGAGACCAACTGGCCAACATGGTGAAAACCTGTCTCTACTAAAAATACAAAAAAAAAAAAAAAAAAAAAAAATTAGCTGGGTGTGGTGCATGTCTGTAATCCCAGCTACTCGAGAGGTTGAGGCACGATAATCACTGAATCCAGGAGGTGGAGGTTTGCAGTGAGCCGAGATCACACCACTGCACTCCACTCTGGGTAACAGAGCAAGACTCCGTATCAAAAAAAAAAAAAAAAAAGAAACTGACAGAAAGCATTCTCTTTCTCAATATATGTATTTTCTTTTCTTTTCTTTTTTTTTTCCATGACACGGAGTTTCACTCAGTCACCCAGGCTGGCGTGCAGTGGCACGATTTCAGCTAACTGCAACCTCCACCTCCTGGGTTCAAGCAGTTCTTCTGCCTTAGACTCCTGAGTAGCTGGGACTACAGGCTCGTGCAACCACGGCTAGCTTATTTTTTGTAATTCTAGTAGAGATGGGGTTTCACCATGTTGGCCAGGCTGGTCTCAAACTCCTAACCTTGGGTGATTCGCCCACCTCAGCCTCCCAAAGTGCTGGGATTACAGGCATGAGCCACCGCGCCCAGCCGAGATATGTATTTTCAGACTCTCTCTGTATATACTCATTATGTGTGTATGTCCACTATGTGTATATATAGAGAGTCTGAAAATTGGAGAAATCCACTTGCTTTTAGATTATTCTCGTATCCTATTAACTTAAGGCTTTCTGAACCTACTGTGTTCACTTATAGCTGTTTCTGAATACTTTCAGGGTGCTGCTGTGTAGAATGTAAAAGGATGTTCTAATCTGATAGAAATGGGGTTATGGGCCAGGCGCTGTGGCTGATGCCTATAATCCCAGCACTTTGGGAGGCTGAAGCGGGCGGATCACCTGAGGTCGGCAAGTCAAGAGCAGCCTGGCCAGCATGGTGAAACCCTGTGTCTACAAAAATACAAAAATTAGCCAGGCGTGATGGCAGGTGCCTGTAATCCCAGCTACTTAGGAGGCTGAGGTGGGAGAATTGCTTGAACCCGGCAGGCGAAGGTTGCAGTGAGCAGAGATCACACCATCGCACTCCAGCCTGGATGACAGAGTGAGAGTCCATCTCAAAAAAAAAAAAAAAAGAAAGAAAGAAAGAAATGGGATTATGGTGAGACCTTGTATGTTCGGTGAATCCTTATTTGTTTGTTTGTTTGTTTATTTATTTATTTATTTGAGACGGAGTCTCACTCTGTTGCCTAGGCTGGAGTGCAGTGGTGTGATCTTGGCTCACTGCAACCTCTACCTCCCAAGTTCAAGCGATTCTCCTGTCTCAGTCTCCTGAATAGCTGAGATTATAGGCACACACCACCATGCCTGGCTAGGTTTTTTGTATTTTTAGTAGAGATGGGGTTTCACCATGTTGGCCAGGCTGGTCTCGAACTCCTGACCTCAGGTGATCTACCTATCTCAGCCTCCCAAAGTGTTGAGATTACAGGTGTGAGCCACCGCACCCAGCGAATTCTTATTTTTGTTAGTCATTTGTTGTTACTTATTTATAACTCATACCTTACATACCATACACTTAAGCAAACTTGACAACAGAATCTTTTTTTTTTTTTTTTCCTTTGAAATGGAGTCTGGCTCTGTCGCCCAGGCTGGAGTGCTATCTCAGCTCACTGCAACCTCTGCTTCCTGGGTTCAAGCAATTCTCCTGTCCCAGCCTCCCGAGTAGCTTGGATTACAGGTGCCTGCCACCACACCTACCTAATTTTTGTATTTTTCAGTAGAGACAGGGTTTCACCATGTTGGCCAGGCTGGTCCTGAACTCCTGACCTCAGGTAATCCACCTGTCTTGGCCTCCAACAGTGCTGGGATTATAGGCGTCAGCCACTGTGCCTGGCCTCCAGATTTGTATTTTTAAGAGATTGTTCTGGTTGCTGTGTGGAGAGTAGACTCAGACTCTATGGGGAAAAAGTAGAAACAAGACCAGTTGGGAAGCTCTTAAAGGAATTAGTCCAAGCAAGAGACAATGTATCATGGATTAGAGTGGGTAGCGGTAGATTTAGGAAGAAGTGATTAGATTGAGAATGTATTTTGAATGTCAAACTGCCAAGTCTTGCTGATGGATTGGATGCAGGGTGAAAAAGCAAGAAAGATACCAGGATGATTCACACATTTCTGGCCTGAGCTGTGAGTGGTGATGCCATTTACTGAGATGATGGCCACTGGGAAAGGAACAGGTTTAGAGAGGAAATCAAAATTAGTTTTACCTCTTAAATTGAGATGACTATTGGACCATCAAATAGAGATGTCACTCATCTAGACAGAAGTATGAATGTGGAATACAGGAAAGAGGTCAGGGCTGGAGATGTACATGTGGGAGTGCTCAACATGTGTATGTTATTTCAAACCATGGGACCAAGTGAGGTGACCGTGGAAGGAATGTAGGTAAAGTTGTCCAAGTTAAGGAAGCAATGAACACAAATACTGACTTTTTTTTTTTTTTTTTTGAGACAGGATCTTGCTCTGTCATCCAGGCTAGAGTGCAGTGATGCAGTCACAACTCACTGCAGCCTTACCCATCTGGGCTCAATTGATCCTCCTGCCTCAGTCTCCCAATTAGCTGGGACTACAGGCACATACCACTGCAGCTAGCTAATATTTGTAGTTTTTGTAGAGACTGGATTTTTGCCATATTGCCCAGGCTGGTCTCAAACTCTTGTGCTCAAGCCATCCGCCTGCCTCAGCCTCTCAAAGTGCTGGGATTATAGGCGTGAGCCACCGCACCTGGCTTACAATTCTTTTCAGAAGTTTTATATAGAAGGGAACAGAGGGCGAGGCGCGGTGGCTCACGCCTGTAATCCCAGCACTTTGGGTGGCTGAGGTGGGCATTATCACGAAGTCAGGAGATGGAGACCATCCTGGCTAACACGGTGAAACCCCGTCTCTACTAAAAGTACAAAAGATTAGCCAGGCGTGGTGGCGGGTGCCTGTAGTCCCAGCTATTCGGGAGGCTGAGGCAGGAGAATGGCGTGAACACAGGAGGCGGAGCGTTTTTTTGTTTGAAACGGAGTCTCGCTCTGTCGCCCAGGCTGGAGTGCAGTGGTATGATCTTGGCTCACTGAAAGCTCCGTCTCCCGGGTTCACACCATTCTCCTGCCTCAGCCTCCAGAGTAGCTGAAACTACAGGTGCCCGCTACCATGCCTGGCAAATTTTTTGTATTTTTAGTAGCGGCAGGGTTTCACCGTGTTAGCCAGGATGGTCTCGATCTCCTGACCTCGTGATCCACCTGCCTCGGCCTCCCAAAGTGCTGGGATTACAGGCGTGAACCACCGTGCCTGGCCCAGTTTTTTTTTTTTTGAGACACGGGTTTCGCTGTTGTTTCCCAGGCTGGAGTGCAATGGTGCAATCTCGGCTCACTGCAACCTCTGCTTCCCAGGTTCAAGCAATTATCCTGCCTCAGCCTCCCAAGTCGCTGGGACTAACATGCACCACCATGCCCGGCCATTTTATTGTATTTTTTGTATTTAGTGGTGACGGGGTTTCACCATATTGGTCAGGCTGGTGATTCATCCACCTCGGCCTCCCATAAGGGCTGGGATTACAGACATAAGCCACCACGCCCAGCACTTTGGGAGACTGAGGCAGGTGAATCAGTTGAGGTCAGGAGTTCAGGATCAGCCTGGGCAACATGGTGAAACCCTGTCTCTAATACAAATACAAAAATTAGCCGGGCTTGGTGGTGCGCACCTGTAATCCCAGCTACTCAGGAGGCTGAGGCAGTCCAATCGCTTAAACCTGGGAAGCAGAGCTTGTAGTGAGCTGAGACTGTGCCACTGTACTCCAGCCTGGGTGACAGAGCAAGACTGCATCTCAAAAAAATAATAGTAATAAAAATAATAATCTTGCATGCCAATCCTCATGTTTGACACTTAAAATATATTTCTAATCTTCATGTCTATTTTGCAGAGTAAGTATTATTAGTTCCATTCATTTTAGATGAGAAAAGTGAAGGGTGAAATGACTTACCAAAGGTTGCACAGATAGAAAATAGCAAAATTGAGATGAAACTTAACTCTATCTAGTATAGGGACCATGTTTTCAAAACCTAAAGTCAGAACTATAAACAGATGCAAGATATTAAAAAAAAATTTTTTTTTGAGGTGGAGTCTAGCCCTGTCTCCCAGGCTGGAGTGCAGTGGCATGATCTTGGTTCACTGCAATGTCTGCCTCCTGGGTTCAAGCAATTCTCCTGCCTTGGCTGCCTCCCATGTAGCTAGGATTACAGGGACATGCCACCACACACAGCTAATTTTTGTATTTTTGTTAGAGACTGGGATTACAAATGTGAGCCACCGCTCCTAGCCTTAAAAATTTTTCTTATTGGCTGGGCGCGGTGGCTTATGCCTATAATCCCAGCACCTTGGGAGGCCGAGGCAGGTGGACCAAAAGGTCAGGAGTTCGAGACCAGCCTGGCCAATATGGTGAAACCCCGTCTCTACTAAAACAGCCGGGTGTGGTGGCGGGCGCCTGTAGTCCCAGCTACTCGGGAGGCTAAGGCAGGACAATCGCTTGAACCCAGGAGGTGGAGGTTGCAGTGAGCCAAGATCACGCCACTGCCCTCCAGCCTGGGGGACAGAGCAAGACTCTGTCTCCAAAAAAAAGAAAAAAAAATTTTTTCAAATTTATGTAAATAGAGACAAGGGTCTCACTATGTTGCCCAGGCTGGTCTTGAATTCCTGGCCTCAAGTGATCCTCCCGCCTTTGCCTCCCAAAGTGTTGGGATTACAGGCATGAGCCACCATGCCCAGCCTGGTCTTTGTATTTATTTATATGGAAAGACTTACAAAAATATAACAATTAAACCAGAATTTGTTATACATGTAATAAATCTTTGTTAAAAATGTGTTAAAATGCAGTTAGGAGAGTCCCATAATTTCTGGTTGTTTCATATTTATAAACAGCACAATGGAGAGTGGTGTAACATATCTGTTTTAACTGGACAGGCATGTCTTTTGTTTTAAATAGATGCTGCTGTTCTCAACAATGTAGCACACACATTTGGCCTAATGGACACAGTCAAGAAGGTTTTAGACAACAGAAGGAACCAAGTAGAGCAGGGAGAAGAACAGTTTCTCTATACTCTGACAGGTATGTGTAACTTATCTCTCTTCTTTGGTGATATGCTAATATTCTTGTCTTCCCATTTTCTTGTTGACTAATGTTAGGGTAACTTTGTTTTTTTTTTAAATAGTTTCAGATTTTGCTTTTAAAAATAAAAATAAAGCCTCAGGTGAGATGTATTGATAAGAAACAAAAGAGGCACAAAGGAAATAAAGAAGGCAGTTGACATCATAGTCCCCCTTCTGTGTCTTGTGGAGGATTAAGATGTCTCTTAGATTGCTCCATTAATTCAATAATATTGGTGGCAGAAGACACAAATTGATCTTTGTCTTTTTTACATTATTGATACTGCTTGTTTGGTAGATATAAATTTAGCACTTTCTCCATTGTTTGTGGTAATCAGAAATTTTGTGTAATCCCAGCACTTTGGGAGGCCGAGGCAGACAGATCACAAGGTCAACAGATAGAGACCATCCTGGCCAACATGGTGAAACCCCATCTCTACTAAAAATACAAAAATTAGCTGAGTGTGGTGGTGTGTACCTGTAGTACCCAGCTGCTCAGAAGGCTGAGGCAAGAGAATCGCTTGAACTCAGGCGGTGGAGGTTGCAGTGAGCCAAAATAGTGCCATTGCACTCTAGCCTGGGCAACAAGAGTGGGACTCTGTCTCAAAAAAAAAAAAAAAAAGAAAGAAAACCTTTAAACCATCAGAAAAATGATATTTGTTAGAAATATAGGCGTTTGGTCCCTTGTCTGTATTATTTTTATTTATTTATTTATTTTTTTAATTTTTTTGAGATGTGACCCTCCCACCTCAGCCTCCTGAATAGCTGGGACTATAGGCGTGTACCACCATGCCCAGCTGTTTTATATTTTTGGTAGGGATGGGGTTTTGCCATATTGCCCAGGCTGGTCTCAAACTCCTGGGCTCAAGTTATCCACCCACCTCAGCCTCCCAAAGTGCTGGGATTACTAGTGTGAGCCATTGCGCTCAGCCCTATTAATATTTTTCAAGTTGCTACTCAGTATTATACCTGGACATTCTTCTAGGGATGACATTTATTTATTTATATATTTTATTTTATTTAGTTATATTTTTTGAGACAGAGTCTCACTCTCTCACCCAGGCTGGTGTGCAGTGGCGTGATCTCGGCTCACTGCAAGCTCCGCCTCCCGGGTTCACGCCATTCTCCTGCCTCAGCCTCCTGAGTAGCTGGGACTACAGGCGTCCGCCACCACGCCTGGCTAACTCTTGTATTTTTAGTAGAGACAGGGTTTCACCGTGTTAGCCATGATGGTCTCGATCTCCTGACCTTGTGATCCGCCCACCCCGGACTTCCAAAGTGTTGGAATTACTGGCGTGAGCCACTGCGTCCAGCCATTTATTTATTTATTTTATTTATTTTTGTTTTTTGAGATGGAGTTTCACTCTTGTTGCCCGGGCTGGAGTGCAGTCACATCATCTTGGCTCACCACAGCCTCTGCCTCCTGGGTTCAAACAATTCTTCTGCCTCAGTCGCCCAAGTAACTGGGATTACAGGCATGCGCCACCACACCCGGCTAATTTTGTATTTTTAATAGAGATGGGGATTGACCATGTCAGTCAGGCTGGTCTCAAACTCCCAACCTCAGGGGATCTATCTGCCTGCCTTGGCCTCCCAAAGTGCTGGGATTACAGGTGTGAGCCACCACGCCTAGCTTTATTTTTATTTTTATTTACTTATTTATTCATTTATTTATTTTGAGATGGAGTTTCACTCTTGTTGCCCAGGCTGGAGTGCAATGGTGCGATCTCAGCTAACCGTAGCCTCTACCTCCCGAGTTCAAGTGATTCTCCTGCCTTAGACTCCCAAGTAGCTGGGATTACAGGCATGTGCTACCACACCTGGCTGATTTTGTATTTTTAGTAGAGACAGGGTTTCTCCATGTTGGTCAGGCTGGTCCCAAACTCCTGACCTCAGGTGATCCACCCGCCTCGGCCTCCCAAAGTACTGGGATTACAGGCAGGAGCCAGTGTGCCCGGCCACTCTTGGCGTTTTGTAGTATAAGTCATTGGAAAAACCAAAGTGTTTTTCCCATGCTCATACACTCAGTATAGCACAGAACACTTCTGTAATCAGATGTGTAGGGGTTTTTCTGCATATACCGAGCAATCAACTCTCCAGTGGACACTGACTGGGTATATATAATTCAGTTCAATTCTGGTACTGTCCACCTGGAGATAGCATCAGATCACACAGGTAAGGCGCAGTCTCAAAAGACTGCCTCCCATTCAGCCCCAGGTTGTGACCTGTGCTTTTTTTTTTCCAATTAATTGTTGAAGGCAAACTGCAAAATGACCTGTGCTTCTGACCAACTGGCTATAAATTGGGGTTCCCACAATCACCTTCTTGTGTTTGATTAATTTGCTAAGGTGGCTCACAGAACTCAGAGAAGCAGTCACTCAATGTTTATTGGGTTTATTATAAAGGTTATTACAGAGGATACAGATGAATGACCAGATGGAAGAGATGCATGGGACAAGGTGGGAAGGAGAGTGGGACTTCCATGCACTCTGTAGTCATGCCACTCTCAGGAACCTCCAACAATCCGATGCTCTCTGAACCCTGTACTTTTGGGGTTTTATGGAGGCTTCATTATATAGGTATGATTGATTACCTCATTGGCCATTGGTAATCAGCCTACAGCCTCTCTCCACTCCTTGGAGGTTGTGGGGGTAGGGCTGAAAGTCTTAATCCTTCATTCATACCTGGTTCTTTCTGGTGACCAGCCCCCATCTTGAATCTAGCTAAAGCTTCCCAGATACCGGTCATCTCATTAAGATATAAAGACATTGGCTGGGCACGGTGGCTCAAGCCTGTAATCCCATCACTTTGGTAGGCCGAGGTGGGCGGATCATGAGGTCAGGAGATCGAGACCATCCTGGCTAACACGGTGAAACTCTGTCTCTACTAAAAATACAAAAAATTAGCCAGGCATGGTGATAGGCACCTGTAGTCCCAGCTACTCAGGAGGCTGAGGCAGGAGAATGGTGTGAACCTGGGAGGCAGAGCTTGCAGTGAGCCGAGATCGCGCCACTGCACTCTAGCCTGGGTGACAGAGCGAGACTCCATCTCAAAAAATATATATATATAAAAAATATATACGTATATATATCATACATATGTGTGTGTGTGTGTGTATATATGTAAAGACATTTAGGTCGGACGCACTGGCTCACACCTGTAATCTCAGCACTTTGGGAGGCCGAGGCGGGCGGATCATGAAGTCAAGAGATTGAGACTATCCTGGCCAACATGATGAAACCCCATCTCTACTAAAAATACAAATATTAGTTGGGCATGGTGGTACATGCCTGTAGTACCAGCTACTCGGGAGGCTGAGGCAGGATAATCGCTTGAACCAGGGAGGCGGAGGTTGCAGTGAGCCAAGATCGCGCCATTACACTCCAGCCTGGCGATAGAGCAAGACTCTGTCTCAAAAAAGAAAAACAAAAGAGATGTAAAGACATTTATTGCTCTGGAGATCCATGTGTTTTTAGGAGCTGTGTGCCAGGATCCAGGGTCAGAGAATAAATATGTATTTCTTATTATATCACAATATAACACATAGGGAGCAAAGTGTTCTACAAGTGTAACTGATTCTTGGGTGCTTATCAGGTACTAAGTAATAGAGAGGTTCCATTGTGGAACGTAACTTACCAGGGGTCACCTAGGTTGGACTGGACACTTGGGAGAGGGATAGTGATAGGCATATTATAATGCAGAAGCAACCAAGTTGATCATCAGATGATTTTTGTCCTGGCCCTACCTTTATAACCTTAAGTTAGTCACTTTCCCTCTCTGGATCCCTGTTAAAATGAATTTGTTTGAACTCTTTTTTTTTTTTTTTTTTTTTTTGAGGCGAAGTTTCGCTCTGTCGCCCAGGCTGGAGTGCAGTGGCCGGATCTCAGCTCACTGCAAGCTCCGCCTCCCGGGTTCACGCCATTCTCCTGCCTCAAGACTCCCGAGTAGCTGGGACTACAGGCGCCCGCCACCTCGCCCGGCTAGATTTTTGTATTTTTTAGTAGAGACGGGGTTTCACCGGGTTAGCCAGGATGGTCTTGATCTCCTGACCTCGTGATCCGCCCGTCTCGGCCTCCCAAAGTGCTAGGATTACAGGCTTGAGCCACCGCGCCCAGCCTGTTTGAACTCTTAAGACCTCTTTTAATTCTGTAATTTTTAGGGACTTCTTCTGTAACTTTCTGTAGACCTTTCTGGGCAACAATCGTAAACTGTGGCTATTTGAGTCACCAGCAAAGTAGTTTTCCAGCCAATGCAGCAAGGCATTCTTGCCTTGAAGGATAGTTTGAAAATCACTGTTTTTTGGAGTGGCCATTGTAGCTTCTTTGTAGGACTATGAGAGTTCCAAGGGACTGTGCAGGCTGGGCACACTGACTTATGCCTGTAATCCCAACACTTTGGGAAGGTGAAGTGGGTGGATTGCTTGAGGCCAGAAGTTTGAGGCTGTAGTGCGCAATGATAGCATCTGTGAATAGCCACTACCCTCCAGCCTAGGCAACATAGCAAGACCCTGCCCACAAAAAAAAACACAACAAGAAGGAAAACAATATCACAACTTGCCTGAGGCTACTTAGTAACAAAACCAGACAGAGACACCAAGTCTCCTGATTCTCAGTTTAATGCTCCCAAGATTTTACTTCCCTCCACACAAAGTCTTTTCTTTTTTTCCATAGACTTGGAACGCCAGTTGGAGGAGCAGAAGAAACAAGCCCAGGATCACAGGCTAAAATCTCAGACGGTTCAAAATGTGGTACTGATGCCTGTGAGCACTCCTAAGCCTCCAAAACGGCCCCGGCTCCAGCGGCCAGCCTCCACCACTGTCTTGAGCCCTTCTCCTCCTGTCCAGCAGCCTCAATTCACAGTCATCTCACCCATCACCATCACCCCAGTGGGTCAGTCATTTTCCATGGGCAATATTCCAGTGGCCACCCTCAGCCAGGGCTCCAGTCCTGTGACTGTCCACACACTGCCTTCTGGCCCTCAGCTCTTCCGCTATGCCACAGTGGTCTCCTCTGCCAAGAGCAGCTCACCAGACACAGTGACCATCCACCCTTCATCTAGCTTGGCGCTGCTGAGCTCTACTGCCATGCAGGATGGGAGTACACTGGGCAACATGACCACCATGGTTAGCCCTGTGGAATTGGTGGCCATGGAGTCCGGCCTAACCTCGGCAATTCAGGCTGTTGAAAGCACCTCAGAGGATGGGCAGACCATCATTGAGATTGACCCAGCCCCGGACCCAGAGGCTGAAGATACTGAGGGCAAAGCGGTCATCTTGGAGACAGAGCTGAGGACTGAGGAGAAAGTTGTGGCTGAGATGGAAGAACACCAGCATCAAGTTCACAATGTGGAGATTGTGGTCTTAGAGGATTAACTGGGGATCTCAGGGCCAGGAGTTATGTTTTGATTTGGAATTTTAATTATTTGTTTATTTTTATCATTGTCCCACTCATTTCCACATAGGACCCTTTTTAAAAAAAAACAAAACAAAATCTTATTGTTGTAACTGAAAATGTTGGGTTCCTCCCACTCCCTCATTGAAAAATGGACAAAACGAGCTGCCCTTCCAGAAGTTGAGAGTAGGTCATTCAATGTCCTAATCATCTTACACCAAGAAAGTAATTTCTTTTAGGGGAAGTGTCAAGATAATGAGTAACCCTGTCCAGAAAGCCATTTCCAGGCTCATTTCTCTGTGTAGGCATGTGGTTTTATTCTTGTAAAGATGCATTGACCAAACTCCGGAACACAGATCTGACACTGGAAGGCAACCCATTTGCATGTGGATGCAGAAGGGCACTTTATTTTGTATCCTGAAAAGGGCCTACAGAGGCCAGTACAAAACTCTGAAACAAAAGGAAGTTGACTCTGCTTTGAGGGGAAGGTGGTATGCCAGCACTAGCTTAAAAAGGGAAGTGCTAGCCGGGCGCGGTGGCTCACACCTGTAATCCCGGCACTTTGGGAGGCCGAGGCGGGTGGATCACGAGGTCAGGAGTTTGAGACCAGCCTGGCCAACATGGTGAAACCCCGTATCTACTAAAAATACAAAAAGAAATTAGCCAGATGTGGTGGCGGGTGCCTGTAATCCCAGCTATTTGGGAGGCCAAGGCAGGAGAATTGCTTGAACCTGGGAAGGCAGAGGTTGCAGTGAGCCAAGATCGCACCACTGCACTCCAGCCTGGGCAACAAGAGCGATACTCCATCTCACAAAAAAAAAAAAGGAAGTGCTTTGACAAGTATGGGCAGGGAAATCATCTTACTTCCAGAGGTGCAACTGATGCCTCTGGAGATCTCTAAAAGTTAGTACCGTGAGTGCCATTTTGAGAAGAGGGTGGTAATAAGTGGAAGGCACATCTCCACAGAACAAGTGGCAGCAGTGGCCTCTGATTTTGCAGAAATGGAAAGCCAAGGCCGGGTGCGGTGGCTCACACCTGTAATCCCAGCACTTTGGGAGGCCAAGGCGGGCGAATCACCTGAGGTCAGGAGTTTAAGGCCAGCCACTAAAAAAAAAAATTAGCTGGGCATGGTGGCAGGTGCCTGTAATCCCAGCTACTTGGGAGACTGAGGCAAGAGAATTGCTTGAACCTGGGAGGTGGAGGTTGCAATGAGCTGAGATTACGCCATTGCACTGTAACCTAGGCGAGAAGAGTGAAGCTCTATCTCAAAAAAAAAAGAAAGAAATGGAAAGCCAAGGATGATGCTACAGCTGTGCTTTGGGGTTCAAGGTAGTAGCTTACTTTGTTCCACACTTTGTCAAAGCACTCACCCTCCTAAACTAGGATCAGTCTATTCATTTGAAACTGTGCAACATGATGTAAATTGCTCTGGTTCTTGGACTGTGGCTGTCACAGGGATGGGGCTCCAAGGCCATCATTTTCATTGCATGACTCCAGGATCAGGGAGTTCCTCCATCACACCAGCTGCCATTTTTGGTGGGGCCATTTTTTTGGCTTTAGAACCAAAAGCAGCCACTCATTTGGTGCTTCCTCTTGTTCTGCCCTCCATCCCTCAACTCTTAATGGCATCTGTCTCCTGGAACCCACGCTCTTCAGCTTTTTGGCTGATTTGGAGAACAGTGACAGGTGCCTGCCTGCCTTCATCCCCTTTTAGATTCATTTATACCACAGATGTTTCTGTGAGATACTGAGATCATAAAAAGCTTTAGGCTTGGCAGAGAGGACTCAACACCCCCAGGCTTTCCTGAGGCACCAACTAGATGTCTCCTGAGTGAGCTGGACTCCCTGGGAAAGAAGCATTGTCTGCAACATTATATTATAGGAAATGTACCAGGAATGTCAATAATAATGTGTTGGGGGGGGGGGTGTTATTTTGTTTTGTTTTGTTTTTAATGTTGTTTGTATATTTAGAGCTGGGCCATTTTCCGTGTTGTGATTCCTTCTCTTTGACCCTCTTCAGTGTTTGGGGCAAGAGTGGACCCTGGTTTTTATTTCTTTGATTGCATTGTTTACTGCACTAGGAAAAATATAGGGATACAGGGAAACTACAGACAAATTAAAGGAAAAATAGGTCAAAAAAGAAAGCACACACCTTAGGAGTGGGAGGAATTTTTTTTATTAAAAACATAACTTTGACCTGTAGTTTCTTTTTCTTTTTTATTTTTAAGAAGGCATCTATCAGAAGCCATGTTTCTTCCAACAGATGTTGGAAACTCCATCAAGCAAGTAAAAGTTTCATTCTCCATCCCTCAGATGGCTGTATTTGGCCAAAGAAACCCTGTAACATGGGAAGGTTACTCTTTTTTTTTTTACCCGAGACGGAGTCTTGCTCTGTAGCCCAGGCTGGAGTGCAGTGGCACAACTTCAGCTCACTGCAACCTCTGCCTCCTTGGTTCAAGCGATTCTCCTGCCTCAGCCTCCTGAGTAGCTGGGATTACAGGCTCCCGCCACCACGCCCGGTTAATTTTTGTATTTTTAGTAGAGAGAGAGTTTCGCCATGTTGGCCAGGCTGGTCTCGAACTCCTGGCCTCAAGCGATCTGCCCGCCTTGGGCTCCCAAGGTGTTGGGATTGTAGGCATGAGCCACCGCACCCAGCCTGAAGGTCACTCTTAAGAATGAGATTTATGAACTCCATACAGTTGTAGATTTCAGTTTTTAAATAGTCTGGGGTTTTATTTTTCTTTTCAAAATATCTAATAGACTTAGCAATCACTTTAGAACAAATATTTGGCCCTTAATATATCTTTAGTGAGGGAAGTAGCTTTTATTTCCTGCTTCTTTAGGTTTTCTGTTGGTACATAAAAACAAAATTGCTATCTAAGACTGAATCTACTTGAATCTAGGAAGGCACATCTCATCCGTATTGTGGTTTGTAGGGACACTTTTCTCTTTCCCAGAGATGAGAGGACCAATTCAGGACAGAAGAGCCCTCGTGAATACCAACATGCTAGCTCAGGTTCCGTTCTTTCCTCCATCAGAGCTATTGGTCAGGCTTTTAAGGTAGTGTGTGCATCATGCTTCCAAAGTCAAGAGATTTCCTCAAACAGCCTGTTTACTAGATGAATTTTCCAGCTGGTGAAATACATGAGCTTTGTTGTTTTCCCGGTCTTCCAATAGCCTGTCATTATTGTTAGATATTATGGCATCTGTTGTTGAATGTGGGTTCCCTTGCAGCCCTGGTCTAGATGATCCTAGATGGGGTGAGACATATGCAAGCCATTGGTATGTGCATAAGCAGTTGCAATGAACCATTCCTTAGGCTGACTTGGTAGTAGCCATTTATCTTTCTGTTCATGCATTGAATAAACATTTTTAAGAACCATCTATGTGCCAGGCTTTGTGCTAGGCACTGACAGTAGAGAGATGAAGACATAGTCCTTGCACTCAAGGAATTCATACTCCAGATGTCTGGAGTTAAGAAATACATATTTCCACCAGGCACGGTGGCTCACACCTAGAATCCCAGCACTTTCAGAGGCTGAGGCAGAATTGCTTGAGGCCAAGAGTTTAAGACTAGCCTGGTCAACATAGCCAGACCCCATCTCTACAAAAAAAAATGTAAAAGTCAAGTGTTGCGGCTCACACTTGTAGACACAATTACTCAGGATGCTGAGGCAAGAGGATTTTGCTTGGGCCTAGGAGTTCAAGGCTGTAGTGAGCTATGACTGTGCTACTGCACTCTAGCCTAGGCAACAGAGCAACACCCCTAGCTCAGAAAACCAAAACTACACATTTCATTATAATTGGTTTCCTTTGTAATCCTACGTATTTTATTTTATGCTTTGAAAAACATTATTTAAGAATTGGTTCATAGGTTTCAGCAGACTGCCAAAGGTACAAACAAGCAGCTCTCCTCTACTGAGGTACTGAAACAAATGCTACTGGGATAAGTGCTGTGTGTGATAGGGCTATTGGCTAGGAGCTGAGAGAACAAAGCATGAAGCACCTAACCCAGCTTAGGGGTGTGGAGGTGGGGTCAGCAAATAAGGGAGATCTTCCTGGAGAATGCATATACCTAAGCTGATTTAGGAGAGACCACTTTTGGCTAGGTTTATTGTACTGGTTGATTTTCAAGTAATTGGGCTTATTTATTCTAGAGAAAAAGTCTTCAGTCTCTTGCTTCTGCCTGCAGAGCAAGGCAGAGTCAGCAACACGGGCAGTCTCTCCACTGGAGAACGCTGAGTCATGCATGGGCTTCTCCAAGTTTCCATCAGATGGGACCCAGTGTTGAATCCAGTGCAGGACTGGAGTCTAGCTGGCAAAGGGTAAATGCCCCAAGCCTTCCTGCCATATGGTTTCCACGAAGGCCTGAGAGTCAACTGTACAACTGTCTTGTGTTGGCCATGTCCCTGTTTGGTCCCTGCCTTGTTCTCTTCCCTTTCTCAATTTCCAAGCTCCACCCACTCCTAAAAACACCAGTCATTCTGAAGTAAAAAATGGACAATAAACATGAATATTCAAGATTCAAAGCCACTTCATATGAAGGTTCTTTCGCACCTCTGTCCTTATTAGGGAAGGAGGACCAATGTTAATCCAAACATCTGGAAAATTAATATTCAGTTCAGGTAGTTTGTACACCCACTAGTAGCATTTTATCCCATTTCATGAAAGGCATTAAAGGTAAGACTATGGTGGAGAGTGTTGATTATGAAGATAGTAAAAGTCAAGCATGAAATGTGGAATTAGTAGTCGAGTTACAGCATCCAGGTTTTAGTACTATCAAAGAGATGGAAAGGGGCCGGGCGCGGTGGCTCAAGCCTGTAATCCCAGCACTTTGGGAGGCCGAGACGGGCGGATCACGAGGTCAGGAGATCGAGACCATCCTGGCTAACACGGTGAAACCCCGTCTCTACTAAAAAATACAAAAAACTAGCCGGGCGTGGTGGCGGTGCCTGTGGTCCCAGCTACTCGGGAGGCTGAGGCAGGAGAATGGCGTAAACCCGGGAGGCGGAGCTTGCAGTGAGCTGAGATCCGGCCACTGCACTCCAGCCTGGGCGACAGAGCCAGACTCCGTCTCAAAAAAAAAAAAAAAAAAAAAAAAGAGATGGAAAGGACAAAGGAAAGGTTGAATTCAGAAAATAAGGCTTGAGGTTGTGATTCACCTTGGGCAGTACTCCTGAGGAACTCGTCCTCTCTGAGACATAATGTCATACACTAGCCTAGCTCCTGCATTTTGAGACAACTCTCCTAGTACAATTGATCACTTTCCTGGAGGTGCAGCACATCCCTTACTCCAGGATAGTTCCTCCCTGGGAAATCCTCCCTGGGAAATTTTTGTGTAGTCTGAAACGTACTGCCATAACAACCAAGGTTGTCAGGGACCTCAAGGGTGTGGTGTAATTATGTTACACTTGGACTCTTGGCTGGGCACGGTGGCTCACACCTGTAATCCCAGCACTTTGGGAGGCCGAGGTGGGCAGATCACCTGAGGTCGGGAGTTCGAGACCAGCCTGACCAACATGGAGAAACCCTGTCTCTACTAAAAATACAAAATTAGCCAGGCATGGCGCATGCCTGTAAATCCCAGCTACTTGGGGGGCTAAGGCAGGAGAATCACTTGAACCCAGGAGGTAGAGGTTGCGGTGAGCCAAGATCGTGACATTGCACTCTAGCCTGGGTAATAAGAGTGAAACTCTGTATCAAAAAAAAAAAAAGATTTGGACTCTGTCCCTAGAATTTCTGTTCTTAGGCAGCCCTATTTGAGCCCTTTCCAGGTTTCCTTCCCAAGTCCTGGAATACCTTAGCCCTGAG